ACATAGTGATGTCATTTTGGTCTTCTCTGAGAAAGAAAGATAGCCATCATGTACATATACATCTCCATATAGCCACACATATATGTATATCATGTATTTGTACATGTATGTATTATATGTACAGATATATACATGCATAATATGTATAGCACTTTGAAGTCTGAAACATACTTTTCATGTTGTCTCATTTGATCCCCACCAAAAAAACCCTAGAAGTAGATGCTATTTTCATCCCCATTTTACAGATGATGAGACTTGAAGCTAGGAGAGATTAAAATGACTTCTCTAGGGCCACACAATTATTGAGTCAAGGTTTGGACTCAGGTCTCCCTGACCACAAGTTCAGTGCTCAGTCAACTAGACCATCTAGATGCCTGAAAAGACTCAAACATAGGGAAGTCTAATATTCAATATTACAAGATAAGTGTGCAAATCAAAGTGCTATATGAGGTATGAGAGGGGAAAGTTGTTAAGGACAATTCACTCCCTTTCTCAAGTCTGCATACAGGACCTGCCCTCTTCTAAAGTCCAACACTTATTGCTAGCCCACTCAACTTGTACCCCATTTAAAATGTTATGGGAAAATTGGCTTTTGAATTGAGTTATTAAGAACAAATAAAAATTCAACAAGTTACAAGGAAAAGGGAGGGTAGTCAAGATATAGGAAGTAGTTGCCTTATTTCTCTCATTAGTTCAAAAGCCCTTTGAGGCCTTGGTCTTTTTTTCCCCTTCTTTGCATCCCATATAGTGCCTTGTACTTACCAGGCACTGGATCAGTATTCCTACATTTATGTGTTATGTTCCTTTCTCATTTTTCAGAGCCTCCAAGAATATTAGACATTCATTAGACTTTCTCAATATCAATGAAGTTCCATGACTTACCTCTAAGAGGTCAGTGATAATAATGAGATAGCTGGGATTCTTAGAAAGAAAGAACAGGGATCTGGGGCTTAGACTCTCCTAATTACTAGGCAAAAACTTTTTCTTAATTGGTTCGCTTATGGAAGGGATCACTTTCTTCTAGATCTTGAGTCATCTGTGTAAAATCCCCAAGAGAGACAATCTTTGCCTTCCTGATGTCCCCCCTGAGAACCAATAAGAATGTTTATATTTTCCTGTATGTTAGTGAAGAGAGAAAATTTGGAGGCAGAGACAGTGAAAATATTATTAAAGAAGGAAGGAAGACTCATCCTAGAATCTGAGAGAGCATAAAGATGACAGATGAGGACACCCCTGGGTATGAACAAGAAAGCATCAACTTGTAGACTTTCTTCAGCCCCTGGATCTGCTGCAATAAGGTCAGTAGGTCAGTGTAGGGATGACTGCTTCACCTTGAGGTGTGGGACAGTCACTGGGCAAAAATTATTTTCCTGCACAGAATCTAGGTCCAGTGTGTAATCAGAAGCATGAATGTGTTCGGGATAGGTACTAGATTCTGAGAAAAGAAATCTGGGCAGAAGAGCCACTGGGAGAAGAGCCAGGCTTGACAAAGGTTTTGAACCTTGAGTACCCAGAAACTGGGAAATTGTGATAGAGCCAGAGCTGAAGGAATTTTATCTCTAAAAGGAAAAGTCCAGAATGATCAAAATTCATTTCACTTCAATTCAACTAACATTTATTATGCACTTACTATATATATTTTTAGGAGTCTAGACATTATAAGATACTCAAAGATTAAGTAAGAATCATAGGTCATCTGGTCCAACCCCATCATATTAAAGATGAGAAAACTGAAACCCAGGAAAATTAAGTCACATGGGTCACCCAAGTGGTTATCAGAGGAAGGATTATTAGCTTCCACCTCATGGAGCTTAAGAAAGACAGATTGTGGGTTACATGGGCAGAGTTCAAGCAGACTACAGGTTATGTGATTATATATCATTATCATACATATTATATTTTTACATAAATAATTTGGTATAAATAGTTTAGACTGGAGTTCCTGTCCATGGACATAGTTACTCAGTAGACCTGAGACATAAGATAGAATTGGAACTAGAGCTGTTGATATGAGAAGCAGAAATAAATGTGTTCTTGTGTGAATCACCAGGAATGGTCTTTTATTTCCTTTATGTCACCCTACAACATCTGTCCAAGGGACTAAGGGGCTATATGTGGCTCTGGTCACTTAGTCAACCATGTGGGTTGTGAGTCAAGTCCTGTCTTAAGCAGAAAGGGATGATTCCAAAGATGCTAAAGTTATATCAATACATATAAAGCAATTCCAATCCAACAGGAGGCACAAGAACATAGGAATACAAGAATACTTATAGAGAAATATGGAAACAGATTAAAATAATTATAATTTAAATATACATGTGATCAGAGTAGATATAAATGCCCTGATTAGAGAAAGGTGGGGTTAATGTCAGAAGTCTTCTTGAGGAAAATGAGTTTTGAATATGATTAGAAAGAAGTCATAATTTGACTTAGCAAACATGCGGGAACATTTCAGGTAGTAGAAATCTACTCTATGAAGGTTTATAGACTAGAGAGACTAGAATCACTCAAAAGAGTACTGATTCAGAAATCAGAGGACCTTCGTTAAAATCTTAACTCTGACACTTGCTAACTGTGTGACTGTGGGCAAGTCACTTATACTCCGTGCACCTCAGTTTCATCATCTATAAAATGAGGAAGTTGGGCTAGATGGCCTCTGATCTGTTTTTCTTTTCTCACTCAGGCTGAAAGTATAGGGGTGATAACAAAACCTATCACCTTGCTTATTGACATGGAAGCTTTGACTTCTTCCCTTTCCTATTTGTGTGAGTTCATCCCTACTCAGACAACCTGGATGACTCCTGCTTCCAGGGTTCATGATACTGGTACTGGACGCCTGTGTGGTCCACCATATTAGTGTGGTGCAGCTCAGAACTGCCAATCTCATCCTCCCATATAGCAGGAGATACAGGTGTGTACCACCACACGTGGCATAGATGATTATCTTTTGAAAGAAAGATCATTTCCAGAGAATTCATTCAGGGAAAGCTTTGGGGGCTTAGCCTTGTTAGAGGGTTAAGTTTGGATACACCTGGAGGATGGTACAGGAATGATCTACTGAACATAGTGTTTCAGGAAAATTAGCTTGTGGTCATTGTTCATGTGAAACTGGAGGCAAGCCTACCAATCCTGAGGATTTTGCAATAGTCCAGGTGTGAGTTGTTAAGGGCCTAAATTAAAGGGGTAGTAGTATGAATGGAAAGAAAAAGATAGTGTCAAGACACATTGAAAATAAAGCATTAACACAAACTCATCAATAATTAGACATGGGACGCGGGAAAGGAAGAAGTGAGTTAAATGTAAGAACTGGAACCTGAAACACTGAGAGAATGGTAACAAAAATAAGACAATCTGGGTTTGAGCAGGAAACTAAGTTCACTTGAGTCACGCTGAAAGTTACATTTCTAGAATTTAGAAATATGTATTGGTCCTTAGTGGAGGGGTTAGGACTGAAGATTTATATTTGGAAGTCATCCACATAGGTGATAGCTAAAGACATAAAATATGCAATATCAATAAGGGAGTGAATGTAGAGTGAGAAAATCAACTTGCTAAAATTGAACCTTGAAGAGTGAACACATTGAAGAGACTGGAGATAGAGGAAGACAAATGGTGAAGAAGATGGAGGACTATTCAAAGGGGCAAGAGCAGGAGAGTGAAGGAAAAGAAAGTTTTATGAAGGAAGGGGTGACCAATAAATAGTATCAAAGTTACAGGGAAGTCAGATGAAATGAGTACTGAGAGAAAGCCAATTAGAGGTCATTATTTACTTTGAGGAGCCCACTCAGGAAAGTGGAGGGATCAAAATTTAGATTCCATTAGGTCGGAGAAAGAGTGAATGACGAGGAAGTGGAGGCATAGAACATGCCTTATATAATCATTGAGGCTTTCAGGGAGGTAGTTGATGGTGGGTCAGAAGGGTCAAAATGAGAAAATCCATGTATGTTTGAAGGAAGATGAGAAGCAGCTCCTAGAGAGGGAGAGATTGAAGATGTCAGAGCGAACAGGAATCATTGATGGAAAAATATATTGGAAGAAGCAAGAGAGATTGAGGAAGCAAGGACACAGATAAGAAGATTATCTTTGGAAAAGAGAAGGGAAACTTCTGCACAAGAAGGAAAGAAAGAGAAGATGGACATAGAAACAAAGACATTTAAAAGATAAGAGACGTTGATAGACTTTATCTTTTCAGTAGATTAGGAGACCAATCATCAGCTGAGAGTTGGTGTGGATCTGATTCCCTGGTTTAGGGAACACTAAAGCAGATCAGCAGCTCATCTGTAACTTATAGTATCAGAGAGTTCCCTGGAAGCATCAAGAGGTGTAGTGATTTGTCCAAGAAGAGGACTTGAACCTGGATCTTCCTGATTCCAAGGCCAACCCTTTATCCAACGTGCTACATTACCATTTACATAAATGTTCCCATTTTCCAGATAAAAAAACTGAGGTTCAGAGAGTTTGAATGACTCTCCCATAGTTAGACAGTTAAGAAATTCTATATCTGGGTTTCAGGACTACATCTCTTGACTATAAATCCAGTACTCTTTTCCTAGTACTCCAGACCCTTGTCCAAAGACAGTTTGGAACAATAGTGGAGAAGAAAGTATTATGGAGTGCATAAGCAATGACTAAGAGGGAACACTTCAATCCATTCACTATCCTCACAAAATTTATGAGTACATCTTCTTCTAGCTGCTCCTAGTCAATCTTCATGTTCATCTTTGTTTTTATTTCTCTAATTTTCAATAGAGTTTTGTACTTTCTTTATGCATGTGTATTAGATAGTTTTTCCCCATTAGAGTGTGAGCTTCCCAGAATGGAGGGCTGGGTCTTATCATTATTCTGTATTCCTCCACATAGAGTATAAGGATGATGCCATACCTGGAACTATAAATCCACTGGAACAATTTATAATGCATTTCACATAGAACATTGACTGACTGAAGGTAGCTTGCTTTCAAAAGCCCTGTATATCATCAGAACCCATTATCCTCTTGCACTTCCTTCAGATGGAGAACAGTAACTGGACCACTGCCCAAGAGTTTATCTTCTCTGCATTCCCTAGAGACTGGGGAGATGCTCTGACCTGCTTTGTCCCACTCCTCTTCATTTATGCCTTCATCCTTATTGGGAACTTGATCGTCATCACAGTTGTCCAGCTGAATGCTCACCTCCACACCCCCATGTATTTCTTTATCAGTACTCTCTCTTTCCTGGAGATCTGGTTTACCACAACCTGTATCCCACTCATGTTATCAAGCCTGCTAAGTGAGAAGAAGAACATTTCCTTAAATATCTGTATGGTGCAATTGTATTTCTTCCACTCCACAGGCATCAGTGAAATGTGCCTTTTGGGAGCCATGGCTTTTGATCGCTATTTGGCCATTTGCAAACCCCTTCATTATCCAACCATCATGACTCCCAGACTATGTGTCCAGTTGATCCTAGTCTGCTGTGTCTGTGGCTTCATCACACCCCTGCCTGAGGTTGTGTGGATCTCCACACTGCCATTCTGTGACTCTAATCGCCTGGAGCATGTCTTCTGTGACTTCTTCCCACTTCTCCGCCTGGCCTGCACAGATACCCAGGCTATTATTATGATCCAGGTGGTTGATGTGATCCATGCTATGGAGATAGTTGCAGACATATTCTTCATCCTCCTCTCCTATGCTGGCATTGTGGTAGTGGTCCTGCGCATCCGTTCAGCTGAAGGTCGCCGTAAAGCCTTCTCTACTTGTGCCTCCCACCTGATGGTTGTTTCACTATTCTTTAGTACAGTGGGACTCACATACCTCCGTTTCTCAGACACTCACTCTTTAATCTGGGACATAGCTACTGCCTTGGCATTCACAGTTTTGTGCCCATTTTTCAACCCCATTATCTACAGTTTGAGAAATAAAGAGATTAAGGAAACTATAAAAAAGTACATGAGTCAGCCAAGGATCTTTTCTCATAAGACCAGATGATATGAACTTTGAGACTTCAATGTATTCATAATCTTATCCATCTAGGCACACCTGGATCTGCATCTTCCATTACATTACTTTCCTATGAATCTCTCTATGATTTTCAAACATGGTCTACATAATGAATGGAAGGCCTTTATTAGATTATTTTTAAAATTAAGGTAATTTAAATAAACTCTAAGAATTAGAAATATTTTTTGGTGAGTCAATTGGGGTTAAATGACTTGTGTAGAGTCACACAGCTAGTGAGTGTTATGTGTCTGAGGTCAGATTTGAACTCAGGTCCTCGTGACTCCAGGACCGGTGCTATATCCACTACACCACCTAGCTGCATCCAGAAATGGGTTTTTTAAGAAGTAGTTACTTGATATCTTTTATGGCATATTTTCAGGAATCTGCCTCCACAAAAGTGCATGAGTTCTCTGTAGGATTAACAAAATTTGAAACATAAAATAAAATAAAAATTGGCCATAATAGACTAAGCAACTTACTTCTTTGGTAACTTAGTAGACAAAGTAGTGAAATACCAGCTGATGGGAAACTCTATGTTGGAATCAGGAAGATGTGCCCCAAAGACAGCTACTTGCCAATTACCCAGAGTTATGGCTTAAATACGGGCCAAAAGTCCATGTCATGAATTTCACTTGTGATGAATCAATTAGGAAAGAATGTGGATTGGATATATGGACATACTAATATCCAAATTTAAGTTAATGTCCCTTCCTCTACTATATACAGTAAAATGGAAGGTAGTAAAATTCTCTATAGAGAGACTGCAAAAACTAACTAGTAATGTATTAAAACATCTGGATTATGGAAGTGAGAGGGGGAGAAGTCTAATGGTATCCTGTGTTCTTACTCCTTTAGCCACAGAGTAAGACCTACTATCTCTTGTTTTGTTTGTCTTACAAGGTGATGCTAAACAGCATCTCTTTGTTTTTGTTGTTTTCATGGATAGAACAGGAAACGTACATAGAGGACCCCTAGAAAAGCCTAAATATCCAGGCCAGGCCTAGGGAAATTGGAGTCTCAGGAGCTTTGATGCTTCATGGAGTTTCCTCAAGAGCACCGTGACTCCCTCTGCCCTTCACCAGTCTGTTAGGGAAGGATGAGGGGGCTACATAAGGGAGATGGCATCAGACATCCTCTTTTCCCCCCATGGCTTGGGGACAGCCCTGCAGAGAAATGATTTTTAAAAAGAAGTAGGAAGTACACTTTTGAAAATGAGGAGAACTTCTGGCCTTTAGACAAAAGTCAAATGGGAAAAGACATTATTTCCTTCAATTAGAGTTAGGTGTAAGAGGGATGGGACTTGGTCCCAGGAGGGCAGAAATAGAAGCATGTGAAAAACTGATGGACTGGAAAGGGTTCTGAACTTGGAGTTGCAGAGCTAGTTTGGAATTTGAGCTCTATTATTTAGTATCTCTGTGATCTGGGGCAAGTCACCTAACCTCTTTAGACTTTAGTTTTCAAATCTGAAAAAATAAGGAATTTGGGTGAGACTACCTCTAAGATTGCATCTATATTCCTATGATCCTAAATTTCAGCTCAATGCAAAGAAAAAAATACAAAAAGAAAATCTAGCAATTAGAGTTATATAAATGGGAAATGAATAGTTTTGATGGCATCTAGGTGGTACAGTAAATAGAGTGTTGGACTTGTAGTAAGGAGGACCCGAATTCAAATCCTGCCTCAACTACTTAGTACTCATGTGTTGGGCACATCCTCAGTTTTCTCATCTATAAAACAAGGATCATAATGGCACCTTCCTCACAGGTTCATTGTGAGGTTCAAAAAAATGAAGATGTGCAAAGTGCTTACCGTAATGTGCTATATAAATGCTGTTATTTATAATCATTGTTACTACTGGAAAGAGAATGCATATGTATATATGTATAATATATGCATAAGTATATGTGTGTGTGCATGTGTAGAGTACAATCTCTAAAGCTATACTTTCAACTACCATTTACAGAATAGGGCCCCCAGAGGGGGTCTTTTCCCCTCAGGGTTCCAGGGGAATGGTAGTGATTCCTAATGCTATAGCTAATAAGCCCTCATTAGTGTGCTTCCCCCTATAATTATCAGTTGATATCAATGAGTCAATGAGATCTAATTAGTTTCTAGAAGGGAGTATTTTACAAAGATAATTTAGTATGAACAGCTGGTACAAACATCCCCCCACTCTTCCCCTACCGTTCCCCTTGCCCCCCCAAAAAAATTGTTAACACTCTTCTGTCAGTAATAAAAAGTACTGAAGAAAGTGGGCTTGTGTTTAAAGAGCACATGAGGTGAAGAGGCAACATCATTTCTGGACTCTAGAGGCCATTTTCTTTTTTTTCATGGGGTAACCACAAAGTTTCATTTAGGGATGAAGTAACCCTTCTGCTGGGCTCCTTGTGGAAACTTTAAGCTGCCTTCTTTCAGTGTCTCCTTTGTCCTTGGCTCTTGATGCTGACACCACTGCTTGGAAGCCAATGAAAAGGTTCAGATATTGTGGCCTTCTAAAGTTCAAGATTCTCCTCTGCTCAAAGGAGAAGGGAGGAGGGATGAGGCTGAGCCACTCTTCTGCCTTCCCCAACAAGCATTTCCTCCTTAGTGGGTTGGCTGGAAGGTTTTTACCTCTAAACTACCAAACATTCCAATATTGCTTCACTCCAAACTTGCTTGCTGATTTTATATAAGCTGTAATTTTTTTTATATAAATGCTGATTCCCCCAATAAATGCTAGCTTCTCAAGATCAGAGATTGTTCCATTTTTGTCTTCATATCCCTAGTGCCAGTGCAATGCCTGATACGTAGCAAGGGCTTAATAATTGCTTGTTGATTGAGCTTTATTATAGAAGAGTAGCCCAATTATTTGCAAGCAGATAGCCCTTTGGTGACCAGTGGTGATACTGCAGTCTTCAAGAAGGCTATAAAATATTTACAACAGAGAGGAATTGTGGTAGATGCTAGCATGATGGCTCAAGCAGAGCACTGCCTGGTGGGGGTTCAGCTGTCATACTCCCTCAACAATACCACAAAATGCTGCCTTTCTCTAGGCATCATGAAAACAGTACAAAAATCTGATCCAATAAACATTTATTAAATGGCTACTATGTGCCAAGCACTATGCTAGATGCTGGAGATACAAATAAGAAAAAGAAAGACAGTCCTTGGCCTCAAGGAGCTTACAATCTAATGGGGGAACCTACACCAGAAGGAGGCAGGAAAAGACTTGGGAGCAGGGAGACATCAAGGGGTATCTAGCAGAGGTGCATCTTGTTCCCTTGAATTGATAAAAAAAAAAAAAAGAAAGAAAGAAAGAAAGAAAAGAAAGCAGACAGGGCAGCAGAAGCACAGTGAAGTAAAGTCCAAAGTCCAGCTTCTGCTGTCTCTTAATGAAGGCATTCTCCAGCCCTCCAATCAGAGAGCAGAGGAGGCTGAGGAAGGTGGTTTCAGTCAAGACTTGAGTTAGCAGCTTGGTGTTAAGTTTAGAAGTGATGAGGTTAACCTGGGAGGGGCATCGTTTTGTTTCACGTAGTTGAAAAAACAAAACAAAACAAAACAAAGCAAAAACAAAACAAAACAAAACTCAGGCAAGGCAACAAGCACAGAGTGGAGATAGGGAAAAGTCCAGTGTTTACACTACTGAGTGCACTACTTTAGTGCCATAGCCATCACATGCAAGGTGCATAGCTGTCATACTTTCATATATTAAGCTCCTTTCTGCAGGAATCTGTTTCTGTATACACCTTTGTTCTCCTAAACAAGCTTCTGGGTTCCAAACACTTTCCCAGGAAGCCCATTTTCTATCACTAGCATCTTAATTTCTACTTCATAGATGCTACCAGAAATGCCATCCTTACCAGTTCTAGTGAGTAAGCCAAAAGACCATATCAGATAGGTAGCCTGGTTTGTGATATTCTTAATAGCCCAGGGCCCAGGCACAAAGAACCTTGTACAAGTTTTTCTTGTCTTGTGATTCCTCATAAAATTGCTAAAGGTTTACAGCCCTTATATGATTACTCATGTCAAGCACTATGGCTACTGTTCTTATAATGATGATAATAATTAAAATAATAGCTAATATTCACATAGTGCTTTGAGGGCTGCAAAGTACTTTACATGTATCATCTAAATCATCTTCACAACAATCATGTGAGGTAAAGTGTTGGTATTATTCCAGTTTTAGAGGTGAGATAATAGAGGCTGAGAAAAGTTAAATGAGTTGCCCAGGGTCACAAAGATAAATGTTTGAAGTAGAATTCAAACTCAGGATTTCCCAAGTCCAATACTCTGTCCACTCTGTCACCTAGCTGAAGATTGTCGATGTTGAAAGTCCTCTGACACAGGCAAGGCTTTCAAAAATAGAGAATTGAGTGAATGGTTTAAAGTATACAGTTACTGTTGACCATATGACAGAGTCATCACAGCATAGACCTTTGGGATATTCTGTGTCAAAAAATTCAGGTAGCTCACAGTGCCAACTGATGCATAAGCATTCCTAGATACATGCACAAAATAGGAGAACACAGACACAAACACAGGAGAGACTGTCAGATTCCCCAGAGCTTCAATGCTCTGCCTCACAAAAGACCCACCAAGTCATTTATTTTCTCTTCTGTCAAAACATTATCTTTAGACCCAGTATAATAGTTGGTTTACAGACACCAGCCCCGACATCTAAGCTTTCTCTGCTTCATATGTTGTTTATAGGTACCTATAGAGTGGGAAAGAGACTGATGACTTCCTTGGGCAATTAGCCAAAACTGCTTACTTCTGTTCCCATAACTCATATGCCCTGCCTCCCTGATTGTGCTAACAATTCGAAGCACATGATGAAGAATACGCTGATTCAAGAGAGGTGAAGCATAGCCACTCCCTTCAGTATCACAGATGAAACTCGGAAGTATGTGATTCCCTTTTGCAAATATAAAAAAAATGAGGATGTTATATTAAAAAGTAGGAGATTCTCAAGAGATGGAAAGATGAAAAACCACAAATGAAAAGCAAAA